AATGGAATATTATTCAGCCTTAACCTATTCACGCCTAGTGTTTCATTATTGGAATGGCAAGCTTATGGGAGTTATTTACATCTACTGCTCAAGGTCACCTCCAAGGTCTGATTTTTCACCAAAAAAAAAAAAATGTTGCAACCTCCACCATAAATGAGTTAAAAAGAAAGGAAATTCTGATACATGCTACAATATGGATGAAACTTGAGGACATTATGCTAAGTGAAATAATTCAATCACAAAAGACAAATTCTGTATGATTCCACTTGCAGTTGTCAAAATCATAGAGGCAGAGAGTAGAACGGTGATTGCCAGGGGCTGGAAGGAGGGGAGAATGGGGAGCTATTATTTAATGAGAACGGAGTTTCAGCTTGGGAAGAGGAAATAATTCTGGGGATTGGTTATACAACAATGTGAATAGACTTAACACTACTGAACTATACACTTAAAAATGGGGAAGATGGTAAATTTTATATTACAAGTCTTACTGCAATTAAAATGTCTTTAAATCCAAATTAAACTAGTAATGAGGCTGAGGGCAGTGGCTCGCACCTGTAATCCCAGCACTTTGGGAGCCTGAGACAGGTGGATCACCTGAAGTCAGGAGTTCACAACCGGCCTGGCCAACATGGTGAAACCCCATCTCTACTAAAAATACAAAAAAATTAGCCGGGTGTGGTGGCACTCGCCTGTAATCCCAGCTGTTCGGGAGGCTGAGGTACGAGAATCGCTTAAACCCAGGAGGTGGAGGTTGCAGTGAGCCAAGATCTCGCCACTACACTCCAGCCTGGGCGATAGAGTGAGATTCTATCTCAAAATAAAAGTAGTAATGAAATACTAATTGTTAAACCTATCAGATTAGTGAAGATCAAAACATTTTGCAATGCCCAGTGTTGATGAGGACATGGAGAAATAAGTACATTCACAAACCATTAAAGGGGTTAGAAACCAGCGTAAGCATTTAAGAGGAAGACTTGGCAGCGTCTGAGAGCCTTTGTCTCAGCTTCAGCCCCTCACCCTTGTCAGGGAAGGCTGGCACCCTGGAAGGGCTTGGGACTAAAGGTCAGGGGACCCTGTTCCCTGCCAGCTGCCACATGAGCAAGCCCCTTTATCATGAAGCTTCACCTCCCCAGTCCCACATCAGGTCAGGCAGGAAGGAGAAAGAGCAGGGCACTGGGCTTTGCAATCCAACCCCCAGACGCTCACCTCAAAGGTGAGATAGTGCTCCTTCAACCGGTACTCCTCGGCCTCCTTGGACTTGATGCCCCTCTCAACTGGGTGACACCTGTGTTCGGCCAGCTCCGCAGTTAGCTGCCTCAGTTTATTCTCATGAGATCGCAGTTGCTCCTCCTGCGAAGACAAGTCCTGGATTGTGAGGCCTTACTCTCAGGCTGTCACAGGGTGGATCAAACCCTGTTCCACCAGGAGCTGCTCCACCAAAGGGAAATGAAGGCCTAACCAGGGTCACCAAAACATGGGGATAGAGCCAGGCTCTGGACCCAAGGGCATGCTCCTCCTCCCACCTCCCTCCCTCCTCCCCCTGCAAGCGCTTTCCTCAATGCCCCTTCCCCCACCCCCACCTCCCCGCTGGCTCAGGAGAGGAGAGACGCTGACACTTATATGTGCACATAGACAATCCCCAACACAGACACACATCGACCCCCACATACAACCCAGCTCATATGCACTCCCACGTGCACCCACAAACACCCTAGACCAAGGCCAGCCTGGCCCCGTTCTCCCCTCCTCCATGTGATACGCGCATTTTCTTACATTCATGCCCAGTCACACGCAGTGGACACAGACCCAGGATCACACCAAAAGACAGGCTGAGACACTGTCACTGATGAGCAAACACACACACATCCCTCCACTGCAGGACAGCCAGGCCCCCTGGTGCTGTGCACATGTGCATGCGTGTGTGTGAGTCACTGCCAGTGTGTTTGCACACGTGAATGTGTGTGGTGTGTGCGCATATGTGGTGTACGTGTGTTACATGTGCATGCACAGGGGCTCTGGGCAGAAGCAGGAGCCCAGGAACTCAGTGGGGAGACCCGGAGCAAGGCCTAGTGGGAAAGGGGCCAGTTGCTGGCAAAGAGGAAGTATGGGGCTTCCACTGCCCTCTACCTCTCAGGCTCTGGGCCACCATTTCTCCTGTCCTCTCCAAAGAAGCCCTGAGAGCCTGCAGCATGGGTGAGCTGGGTTTTCTAGGATTACAAATAAAATATTTAAGGATAGGTGAGGGCAGCAGAAGAGCACTGGATGAAGAGTCAGCCAGGTGTCACTGCGAGCTCCCTGTGACACACAGCCTCTTCCATTTGTGCCCAGATGCACACAAGGCCACCAACTCTCAGTCACATCCACAGGGATGCACTGGCAGAGGCAGCTCCACGCCACCTGCCACAGCCGTGGCCCCTGTGTGCCATGCCTCAGTCTCCCGTCTGGACATGGGGGTGGGATGCGTGGGATAGAGGGAAGAGCTGCCCTTCTCTGGTGTCCTTCAGCCCAGGATCACCCGGCCTAGAGACGAAACTGGGGTGGGCTCCTGAACAGATGGTAGCCTGAGGAGCTGGCATCTTGACCCAGGAGCATGTACCTGGCAGAGGCGGGTAGTGCAGGAGGGCAGCAGGGGCCGACAGAACTTCTTCATGGAGTTGACAGCGGCTGGAAAAGCCGGGGCAGAGAAGATGGCTGCCACCAAGTTGATCCTGAGGATCCAGGACTGCATTTCCTCCTTGCTCCTGGGGACAGGAAGGGGAGAGGGTCCCGGCCTCTCACACAGGACTCCCTGTCCTTCACCCAGCACCCAACACCCAGCACTGGGCTTGGCACTGAGAAGGCACCAGTACCTCTAGATGAGCGGGTAAAGGAGAGAGGGAGGATGCATAGGGGCTGGATGGGCGTGGCCAAAGCTATGCGGGGAGCTCCCTTTCTGTCCCAGCTCCCAGGCACACCAGATTTTCATGTGAAAATCATAGGTCCACAGCTAGTGGCCCTGGAGTGAATGGGCGGGAGTGACCATGAACTGGGAAACATCAGAGGCATTGGCAACTGGGCACATCCCCACAGCCCTCCTGCCCTGCCCCGCTGCCTGCCCAGCATGGGTGCTGTGATCCTGAAGCCTTGTCCACCAGCCTGCCTCCTTGCAAGCTCATGTGACACATACACCCCAGTCTCAAGTCACAGGAGGATGGGAGGTGGTAGAAGGATAGCCCTACAGGTCACCTGGAGGGTGCATCTTTCCCACATTTAAAGTGAAGGATGATTCATAAAGATGCCACCTGCCCCGCATTGCAGACTCCAGCGCACTCAGCTGCCCCTGCAGGGCTTGTTAAACACAGCTGCTGGAGCCATCCCAGAGTTTCTGGGCTCAGCAGGTCTAAGGTGGAGCCAGAGGGACTGCAAGTGGTGCCGAGGGTAACCACACTTTGAGAACTGCTGCTTTTGGGTAACCCAGCTGTCGGTCTGTGTCATGTGGCTACACGTACTCTGTGGCTGACTCACGAGAAGGAGAGGGGTTGTGTGCCGGGTCACCGCGGCAGGCCTTGGGCCCTGGGCGGGAGCGAGGAGCTCCAGCTCCTACTCACGGTGCCTGGAAGAGGAATACCCTCCAGTCGGCTGTCTTAAGCTTGAGCACGTTGGACTTCTTGCTGTAGTCAGAGGCCCTGGTGGCCAGAGCATGATGCACACGAATGGCGTTCTTCAGGTCACCCTCTGATAGAGCTTTGTCAGGCCTGTACTCATCCTGGATGGGGAGGGATGGGTGCGCTAGGGTCACTGACCCACACCTTCACTCCCCGCTGCCCTCACTCCCCTCTCTGTCCCTATAGCTCCCTTCATTTTCCATTCTTGCTGTCTCACCCACCCCAACAAGAATTCAGGTACTCTTCCCCTTACCCTAGTCTCAGAGGCCTGGACAGGCCTCACACTGAGCCACTGGGCACCAAGTCCTCATATAAAAACCTCCAAAGCCCTGAGTGGGCCCAAGTCTGGGGAAGGACCAGGCATGTGCCTGAGCCCCAGGTCCTGCCTGGGGCCCTCAGGGCACCACAAGGCCAGGGCGGGATGGGACTGAGCTGGCCCTTTCTGAGTACATTTTCTGGGGCAGTCTCACCTTCTGCAGGTACAGTATGGTCCCTTTGAGCACTGCGTAAAATTTCTTCCAGCCACGCCTCCCACGGGGCGCTGGGGAGAAGGGCACTGGTAGTGTGGCTGCAGCCACCTTCTGCAGTCTCTCCAATCCCACCTCCCACTATGTGTCCACCTGTATGTGCACCCCCAAGGAGTGACCTGGGGGCGCCCCCCTCTGTGCCAGCAACCCTCCCATGCCCCTCTCCAAGCCTGACACCCACTCCTCTTGCCATCCATGTCAGCATGAGTCTTCCGGGTCAGCACACCGTGCTTGTAGGTGGTGGCACTGAGAGCCTGTGGGACATCCAGGAAGGGGTTGCCACCGTCCAGGATTCGCGTCACCTTCTTCGTGCCTGTCCCAAACTTGTCATCCACCAGCTCAGACAGGGATTTCCTCAGCTCGTCCTCATCACTAGGGAAGTACTAGGCCTGAGCACCACCTCCAGGGAGGCCTCAGGCCTGCATCGTCATGGCCTTTTCCCACCAGCCACCCATCCGGGAGCCAGGGTCATTGAGGAAGAGCAGCCCCAGGAGGTAGAGATGAGGAGATTCCAATTCCAGACTGTAGATCCAGATCTCTGACCCCTACTCTCGTCTCCACTTCTGACTCTGACCTCTGATCTTTGATTTTTGTCCAAGTACCAATTGGCATCCTTGGTCACAAATGTGGAGACTTTACTGTCTCCAGGTCTCCTTCCCAGTCTTCCTTCACCTCTCTCCATCACAGAGAGCACTAACCATGACCAGACTGAAGATGCTGCACAAACCCTACCGACACGCTGGCAGAGGGAGGCCAGCAGGTAAGGACCTGAAGTCTGGGCCCCCACAGGAGCCCCAACAGAAGAGTGCCAGCTCTTCCCTGTGGTATGGGAGTTCCCGCCAATCCTTTCCTGGGACCTCTACGTGGACCTCGGCTGCCCTGGGGAGCACAGCAGAGCCTTTCACAGTCTCCCCAAACAACAAGGTCACCACCCCTCTTTCCTGATGAGACCTACAGGTCTCACTGCTTTTGCAAGGGAAGAAGTTAGAGGGCACTCTCCCCTTCCCATTGTCAATAGCAGTCACCATCTACACAGTCATATTGTTATAGGGCCCTCGTGCCTCCTGCCTGCCTACTTCCCAAAGGGAAAGGAGCTGTCATCAATGGGAATTGGAATACTATCCCCATATAGAAAACACTATCACAGTTCAATCTATTCCATAGTAATGTAAACATTGCACTCTTTTTCTCAATACAGAAAATGAACCAAAGGGGAATTCAACACCAGGTGTGGGCCAGCTAGACACATGTGTCAGGCACTGGATTGGGAGGGATCAGCACCATGGAGAGTGGTCAGAAAGACAAACCTGCACCCCCACTCTCCCCCTCCCAGGAATGCAGGCTCCCCATACCTGTGCCCATAGGCACTACTCACATGGCCCATTCCAGCTTTTCATTTTTGATGGAGTTGTAAAGGGTCTGGGAGACAGAAAAAAGAGAGAGAGGAATTCAGGTGAAGAGTCAAAAGAAACACCCATCTATCAACAATAACATGGGTACAGTGAGGGAGCATCGTTTCAGCCAATGGAGTGAAGTGGGCATTTGATTCATACTTGTTTGTTAGATGGATAAGTGAGCGGGTGGGTGGATGTACAGATGGGTGGTATTTAATTATGTGATCACTTAATGTCAATCTCGCAGGAGACTGTAAGCTTCACAAGGTCAGAGGCTGTCCATTTGTTCACTACTGAATCTCCAGTGCAAAATCCAGAGCTCAACATACAGCAAGTGCTCAATGGGGTAGATTGATGGATCGGAGGATGAATGGATGAATGGGAGGATGGGTGAATGGAATGGATGGATGGGGAAGTGGACCAGTGGAAGATGGAAGGCTGGGTGGAGAAATAGGCAGGTGAATGGGTGAATTAATAAAAGATGGGTGGGTGGATAGAGGGTATATGAGGAAGATTTAGGGGTGTATGCATGAGGATATGGGTGAGCAAATGAATGGCAGGGTGTTGGGTGGATGATTGAGTAAATGATTGAGTGGATAGGTTTGAGGATGAATGTGGGTGGGTTAGTGGGTAAAGAATGGGTAGGGAATAGTTGGATAGGGGGATGGGTGAGTAGATGTGATGATGTTTGTTGAGGTAAGTAGATGAGGAAGTGTTTGAAGAGCATAAGGTGTCTGTGTGGGTGACGGGCGAATGGGTGAGTGGTTGCTATGGAGAAGTGGGAAGGGAGGGTTTGGGGATATATATGGGTGTGGGGGAATGGGTGGGTATATGGGTAGGTGAATGACTGAGTGGCTGGGTGGATGCATGGGAGGAGGAGTGGATGGGTGCAGAAGTGGGCAGATGGGTGAATGAGCAGATGGGGAGAAATGGATAAGTGGATGGTGAGACTGCGATTGTTTGCTCTCACAAATACGTGCCTCACAAATGCTTCTCAATGGTGAGGAATATGTAGTGGGAAGAGTGATGAAGACAGTGTTCTATGCAACACTGGAGTTTGGATGGAGACCTCAAAACTCATTATTCAACTGCCCCTGTAGTATCATCAGATTCTTCAAACCCACTATCTAAAAATGCAGCTGGCTGGGTGAGGTGGCTTACACCTGTAATTTCAGCACTTTGGGAGGCTGTGGTGCAAGGAGTGATTGAGCCCAGGAGTTTGAGACCAGCGTGGGCAACATAATGAGACCCCCCAGCTCTACAAAAAATAAAAATAAAAACCACCAGGCACAGTGGTGGCATGCACCTATAGTCCCAGCTACTTGGGAGGCTGAGGCAGGAGGATCCCTTGAGGCCAAAAGTTCAAGGCTGCAGTGAGCCATGATCGCACCACTGCACTCCAGCATGGGTGGCAGAATGAGACCTTGTCTCAAAAATATACAAATAATAAAAGTAAGCCCATCACCAGCCCCCCAAAACCTTCCCCTTTTCCTCCAAAGTGGAGAAATGACCAGAATATAAAGGCCAGAGTTCCACCCTTGGCTTCAGCCTCAAAAGAAAACTAGATTGTCTTAATTCCTGGTGATGATGAAGGAATGAGTGGGCTTTTCCTTGAAGTGATCATGACGATGTTTGTGGTGAAGGTGGTGGTGGTGGTTGTGGTGGGTGGCAGCTGTGACAGTTGGTAGCAGTACTGATTATTACTATGACATTAATGGTGATAATGGAGTACTAAAAACAAATCTCACAAAGCCTTCCCCCAGCCTAACTCAGGGAACACAGAATAGCCAAATGTTGAGCTCAGAGGTTTCTAACTTTGTCATCATGGCCCTGCACCCTCTGTTAAGAGCTTTGAATGCCAGCATTTCTTGGGGCAGAGACCTCTCTCCTCTCTATCCATGCAGGGCATAGCTAGTAGGATGGGGGCTCTCGGCAGACAATACCTTCAGCAGGTCTTTGGCAAAGTCTTGGCCATCATTCAGCTGGTCCAAGTTGGCAATGAATTGCTGACAAGACATCTTCTTACCAATGTTCTGTAATGGAGAAATGGTCCTGCCTAAGAGTAGGGAAGGAGGCTGGTGTGTTCCCCATACACCCTGCCCTGCCCAGCCAGAGGGATGAGGCAGCGTCAAGGGCAATAATGAAAATTAAATTGCGTGAATTTTCTTTTGTCTCCAAGAGTTTACAGAACTCTTATCACAGTCAGAACTGTGCTTGATTCTCAACCTCTCATGAGAGGTTGGGCTTCTCCTGCAGCCCAGATGAAGGAATCGGGCTGGATGAAGTGTTGTAAGAGTTGACATTTGCCAAGTCTCTACTGTGTTCCAGGTCTTGTGCTTGACATGCATTATCTTATTTCTTTCTCACCCCAAGGAGAAGGTGAAGTGCCCATTTTTATTATCCCCATTTGACAGGTAAGAAAACTGAGGTACAGGAAGGTGAAGTGACATGCCCATGATCACACAGCAAGGAAGTGAAAGGGCCAAGTGTGTCTGACACCAAAGGCCATGCTCTCACCACTACTCCATGGTTAACTCTCCCAAGGTCACTCAGCACCAGGACTTGAACCCAGGCCTCTTGGCTTCTGAGCAGAAGCTCTGCGTATTCCGCCACAACTGTCTCACCCTCTCACCTGCACAGAGGGGCAGCAAGGCTTCCAAGACGTAGGTGAAGTGAGGGAAGGGTTGTTCTTACGGGACTCAAAAATCAATTGCCATGGACACACACGGGTGCCCCATGCTGAGCTGAGCTGAACTGAGACAAAGAGAACCCAAGCAGATGGTTTCATGCTCAGAGGCAGAAACAGGCAAAGAGCTGGAAATGACTAAATCCCCAAGTTCTGCCTTCTTGTTTTAACCAATGAGTAGTTGAGGGGCTCAAGCCCTGCAACCCAACGCCTAATATTCATACTTCCAGACTATCCGTGGAGTCCCACATTTGAGAAAACACTGAACAGCACTTCATCTTTGTGAAAATAAAAACTCTTGAATACTGGATACTTATCACTGTAGGATTTTGTGGATTGGGGTTTGCTATAAAGCAGTGTTTTCCAAGGTTTACCTACACAAATAGGTATTCACTCAAAAAAAGATTTCATAATAGAACAAGTTTATTTACATGTTTCAGACTCTTTACCATGCTGATGTGTGCCGGTGTCTCCAAGGAGAGGATTCCACATCATTTCCCAAGTTTACTAACCTTGGCACTATTTTAGCAAAGACACTCTATTAGTGTCATGTGGGACATTCACACACCACAGAAATCATTCAGAAAACAGTGATGTAAGACTTTGTAACTAGCTGACAAGTAAGAACTTTCTATGCCTTTCCAAAACGGTTCAGGAGAAAAGATCCTGTGTTTGCCTTGATACAAGTGTGTTTCGTATGTTTCCTTGTATAGTTTTACATATATACGTGTGTCTATATATAAGTACATAGCCATGTGTGCACATTTACAATAGAGGATTATGAGGGCAATGCTCATAAGACTATTTTTGAGGCCAGGCGCAGTGGCTAACACCTGTAATCCCAGCATTTTGGGAGGCCAAGGTGGGTGGATCATGAAGTCAGGAGATCGAGACCATCGTGGCAAAACCCCATCTCTAATAAAATACAAAAAATTATCTGGACATGGTAGTGAACACTTGTAGTCCAGCTACTCGGGAGGCTGAGGCAGGGGAATTGCTTGAATCTAGGAGGTGGAGATTGCAGTGAACAGAGATTGCACCACTGCACTCCAGCCTGGTAACAAAGAAAGACTCCGTCTAAAAAAAAAACAAAAAATAATTTCACACTAGAAAAAAAAAAAAAAAAAAGAAAACCAAAAAAAAAAAAAAAAAAAAAAAAAAAAAAAAAGACTCTCTCTTTGAGTTCCACACAAACTGAACCTTCCTCAGCCATTAGTCAGGAGTGCAAAATCAAAAAGTAACCAGGCAAGATTTCTAATCTAAGCAATGTCAGACTATCTTGTTGTGGGTGAACCTTCCCAGAAGAAACAATTCTTGGTCAAAATATTCATAGCACATCTGTGTGAAGGCATTGGAGGCATTACAAAAGCAGTGGAGGCTTCCAGGGTGAAGACTCTGTAGGCGAGTGTGGAGAGGTGACCCCAGAAAGAGCAGCATTTCTCCCTGAAGCATTTGCTGCTTCCCAGAAGCAGCCAGGGGCTGAGCAGCTGGGTGGCCTCTTAGGACTGGAGAACCGAGACTGGAGTTCAGCACCCACCAAGGACAAGGAAAAACACCCAAGGACTTGGGAAACACCCGTCACACTTCAACAAAAAAAGTTGAAATTAAGCAAAAAAACTAAAAGAATAAAAATTATCCCAGATGGAAATATGGAGAAGCAGAAATGAAAGAAATAACAAAAAGAATTGGTAGCTCTAAATGGAAATCAACTATGTAGAGCAACAGTAAAGTTTTCCAGGGAATAAAATATAGAGAGATATAATAGTTAAAAGCATGGTAACAGGAGTATATAAGTTAGGACAGCAGTAAATGGAACTAAAGTGTTTCAAGGTATTTCACTGCCTGGGAAGTGGACCGAGTACTTTATAAGTTGAGGGTGCAAACTGCAAACCATAAAAAGAATTCCGAAAGAATGGACAACTAACAAGCTAACAGAGCGGGGAAATGGAATTCCAAAAACTACTTAATCCAAAAGTAGGCAAAAAAAAAAGAGAAAGAGAGAGAGAGAAAAGAAACAGAACTGAAGAGTCAAAGAGAAAACAGTCTGTGGTATACTTAAATGCAAATATATCATGATTCACTAAATGTTCAAATTAACATTATTATCAGACTTTATTTTTAAGTATATGATACAAGAGACATACCTTAAATATAAAAGAACAGAAATCTTTGAAACAAAGAGTCAGAAAAGGATATACCACATAAACACTAACAAAAGAACTCCAGTATAGCTACACTAACATCTGACAAAATAGATTTGAGGGCAAGAAGCATTACTAGAGATAAAGAAGGACATGTTCTAGTGATAAAAGGGTCAATCTGCCAGAAGATTGACCTAAATCTGTATACATCTAGTAGCATAGCTTCAAAATACACAAGACAAAAATTGACAGAACCAAAAGACGACATATTCACAGTCTTGGTTGGAGATTTTAACACTGCTCTGTTAGTAACAAGCAGGCAAAAAATTGGCAAGAATACTATGCCAGAAAATTAGATAACCTAGATGAAATGGGCAAATTCTTAGAAATACACGAGCTACTAAAACTGGCTCAAGAAGAAATAGAAAATCTGAATAGACCTACAACAAGTAAAGAGATTGAATCAATAATTAAAATAAAATTTTTAAAAGGCCAGGTGTGGTGCCTCACACCTGTAATCCCAGCACTTTGGGAAGCCAAGTTGGGAGGATCACTTGAGCCCAGAAGTTGGAGACTAGCCTGGGCAACATAGGAGACCTTGTCTCTCCAAAAAAAAGAAAGAAAGAAAGAAAATTAGCTGGTCGTTGTGGCACATGCCTGTGGTCCCGGCTACTCAGGAAGCTGAGGTGAAAGGATTACATGAGCCCAGGAGGTTGAGGCTGCAGTGAGCCAGGATCACGCCACTGCACTCCAGCTTGGGCAACAGAGAGACCCTGTCTTAAAAAAAAAAAAAAAAAAAAAAAAAAAAAAACCCTAATAAAAAAAAAAAAAAAAAAAAGAAACCACTATCAAGAGTTGAAAAACAACCCACAGAGTGAGAAAAAATATTTGTAAATCAAATATCTACTAAGGGCCTAGTATCTAGGATATATATATAAACAACTCGAAGAATACAACAACAAAAAACAACCTAATTTTAAAATGAACAAAGGACTTGAATAGACATTTCTCCAGAGAAAATATATTTTAAATGGCCAAAAAGCACATGAAAAAATGCTCAACATCACTAATCATTAGGGAAACACAAGTCCAAACCACAGTGAGATAACGCTTCGCATCCACTAGGATGGCTATCTTTTTTTTTTTTTTTCAAAAAACAGAAAAGTGTTGGTGAGGATGGAAAGAAATCAGAACCCTGCACATTGGTGGTGGAAAATGTAAACTCGTTCAGTCAACGGTTGGGCACTTCCTCAAAAAGTTACATGTAAAATTATCCTACGACCCAGTAAGTCCTAGGTATATACCCCCAAAAAATGAAAACAAATATTCAGACAAAAACTTGTACATGAATGTTCATAGCAGCACTATTCACGATCACTAGAAGATGGAAACAACCCAAATATCCATCAACAGATGAACAGATAAACAAAATGTGGGATATCCATACAATGGAATATTAGTCACTCATGAAAAATGAACTACTAAGACATGCTATGAAGTAAATGAACATTGAAAACATGCTAAATGAAAGAAGCCAGTCACAACAGGCCACATATTGTGCGATACCACTCATGAAATATCTACAATAGACGAATTCACAGAGACAGAAAGCAAATTAGCATTAGCCAGGGGCCAGGTGGAGGAGGAAATGGGGTATGACCTTTGAGGGGTATGAGGTTTCCTTTTGGGGTGATGAAGATGTTCAGAAGCTAGACAATGGCAACAACTGCACACCACTGTGAAAGTTCGTAGTGCCACTAAATTGTAATCTTTAAAATAGTTAAAATGGTTAAGTATCATAACAAGAAAATAAATCAGTAAGGATATACATGATTTTTACAACACATATAGACACCTTATTGGCACATACAGAACATTATAACCAACAACCACAGAATAGATTCTTTTCAAGTCCACATGAAACATTCACTAAAATTTATCTTTCTTAGGACCAAAAAGCAAGATGCATGCAAAGAAGTAAAATTATACTGGGTAAGTTATCTTCTTTAAAATACAATACTCATAACAACAACTAGTCAAAAAGACATGTACCCAGGTGATCCCAAAGCCCAGGGGAGGTCCATGATTTGGGGCCTCTGAGTTCCCACTTCCCCCTCTCCCTCCCACCCCGTTTGGATCAACAGGGCCTTCCAGTCTTTCCTAAGCCCTTGGAATTCTTCTGTGTCCCAGCAGAGGAAAGTCACAG